GAGCACTCAAATGAGGCTTTCGAAATTACACTGTCCATGTTAGCATGCTAAGGACGAGCGCTCACGTTCACCTGTAGACTATCTGGAACTACTCGTGCTGCCTGTAGACTATCTGGAACTACTCGTGCTGGAAAGTGCCAGAGGATGCAGTTACAGCGTTTCAGACTGGTGTGTTAACCTTTTCCCTACAGCCGTGTAGTTAATTTTTCTCCCTGTCTTACCATATTTTTCTTTCAAGCAGCCTGCCTGCATGATTGCTGATACAACGCTGAACAAAGAAAAAACTGTGAGCAACAAGAATACTTCAGCGACCACCTTTCCAGAAGCTGCAGCAGAACGGACAGCAGTTTGACTACTGTGAGACTGCATGTGATGTGGCAACCTTGTGGTACATGTTGATCTAGTCGTGACGGCGTTTCGTAGTTGTTCTTAGACGCGCGCGTGCACCATGACTGTGTTGATGCCGTAGCTGCTGCTTATTAAAGTCAGTTTCATGATACCATCGGCTTGTCTACGTTGCCGAGTACTCACATTTGGGGCAGTCGTCGACGATTCATGCTGAAGAAACCAACGCCAATCGTCCATTTCGTGTGAGTTGGTGTTTTGTGTTATAGCTGCCCGCCTCACTGCCTTTGCCTGCCCTAAGCCTTCTTCGTTTTTGCCCGCTTATCCATCGACTGCAATGCCGCTTATAAACTGAAATGAGGCCACTGTGGAAGACCTTTATGGGTTTACAGCGGACTTTATACACCATGAACTTTCGCATCGTAACCTGGAGACGAATGGCTCTAAGGAAGACATGATTAAACGGTTGCTTCATGACATCGTCCGAAACTGTCAACCGTCTGGTGAGGCCGATTCGACAGCTGAGCAGTCGGTTTTAAGTAGGCAAGTGCTAAGTGACCTACTACAGCAGTTTTTGAGATTGTCGCAACGGCCGATGTTTCCAGTCCAAGTCACTACGTTTAGTCAACGTAGTAACTTAGCCAAGCCAATCTTTAGTGGTGACGATAGCATCTCAGCTCACCAGTGGCTTGAAAAACTCGAGTGTACTTAAGGCTTGGCGTCATGGACATCATCTACTCTCCTCACCGTAGCGCTTGGTAAGCTCCGTGGCCCTACTGCAGATTGGAAAAGCGTGGTGGGAAACCAGTTGGACATGTGGGAGAATTTCAAAGCTGCGTTCAAGAACCAGTTTGGGGACAAGCTTATGCTCTTGCAGTGGCAGCACATAGTCATCAGATGCATCTAGTCACCTAGTGAAAGCCTCGTTCACAACTCCTTGGTGAAACTATGCATAATTTCAAAATGTCCTGTCCAACTGACAGGTCCTCAGCGCATTGAATATGCACTACAGGGTGTGTATGACGCACACTTAGCAACAACCATCGCTGCACAACTGCCACCAACTGTGCGTGCATTTCTTGCCATTGTAACCCAACTTTAAAGCATGCCTCTGTTTTCCCAAGCCAGCCACCCATTGCAGCAAGAACATCGTCACGAGTGTCTTCCGTGCCTGTGCAGCAATTTGGTAATATGAACGACAGCTCTTTGTCACCAATCGATCCGGCTCAGTCGCCAGTCTAGGATAGCATTTCCTCATTGCAATTGGAAGAGCATTGATTAAGATGTGGCGTTCAATGTTCCAAAACCAGATTGGAAGAGTAAGAGAGTCGTTACTCTGCAATCAGCTCTAGAAATGGCGCATTGGCTCATCGCCCTGGGGACGAACCAAGCAAGGCCACATGCCATAATTGTCTGTCAGCAGACTGGCCATCTTGCATCCAAGTGCCCTCATTCCAGCTACAATGCTCAGAGCCAGCAAACAAGTTTTTCTTCCATGGCCTGCTTTCAAGCTTCAGAGGCGCTTGCAGAACCATTTGTGCAGTGTGTCGTAATTCAAGCATACATTCCACTTGTGTGCACTGTTGATACGTTTACCGACAGTGGATCCAAACACACAAGGCTCTCGCCGAGTTTTGTTGGATCTTCAAACCTGTTACCATGGTCCAAGCCTCCCATGTCTGTTCTAGGTGGTGGTGCCATCGTGCCAGATGGTACATTACATACTTGCATCACTCTGGGGCCTATTTATGAAGTGCTTGAGGTTCTACTTCTGGCTAGAAACTCCTTACCTTTTATTTTAGTAGGGGACTGGTTTGAAGACGCTCATGCTGAGCTTATTGCTCAGCCACCTCATCAAACAAAAACTCGCCATCCCAGCACTGGTTTTGGTATGCCATGGCTCGAGAAGCCGCTGCCAAGAATGTCTAATGCTGTTGTGCTGTCCAATAGCTCCACGCCTTTTTAACACAAGCAAATGTCTTCTACAGCCTGTTTGCCATTTTCACCGTTGCCGGGCAACACCCAAGTCCCATGCTTACACGTCAACGAGAATTCAGAGTTGCCTGAGCAGAAGCCACATGAACCGAAGGATGCAGCTCTTTGCATGATGAATGCTACGCTGGACATGCCATGGCTCCGTTGGGCTCAGATGGCCACCCAGCAACAAGAAGTTATTGCAGTTAACGACATCTTGCATCAGCCTATTAACCTGTTTGCCACAAATGATAATGATTCGAGGTACTGCAAAGGGGCTGAACGTTCCACCGATTTTTTGCCAGATGCATCACCATAAGCACGTCAGTCATGTAGATGTGGCAAAAAGGATCGTGATTTCATAGAGCGCCAATGTCAAGTGTTTCATGCTAAAGGCTCGGTCACCAAGACTGCACAGCTAGAATAAGGACTGTACCAGATGCACGTCAGCTGCTGCAGGCCAAAGACTTGAAAACAAAAAAACAACGAGACGCCAAAGCAACTATCCACTCAGCGGCATGTAAACTTCTCAGTTCTCTGCGTGAGCTTAGGCAGCGTCTCAGCCATAAAAATGAGGCTCTCCGAGTTAAAAGACCTGCAGAAAATAAGCGCAAGAAGAACAAACAAGCCATCAAGCCAGCTGCTAAGCCAACCCAGAATAAGCGACACAAGCTGAGTCAAGAAAGTCTAAGCGCTGCGAGCAACACGAAAGCGGGAAAGCACCACAGAGTGCAGCTGCCTTCTACCATGACAGCTATGACGTCTACAGTAAGCTTGAATTGACTGGCCAGTCAAGTTGTACAGATGCGTGACCTATGATTGAAAAGGAGGAGTAGGTTGTCCGTCAAGCAGAGATGAAGGCGGAAAAGGTGAAGCACCCTAAATAATGTGAAATGTGCCATGCGAAATGGGCTCAGGAGAAGTGAAAATCTCTCTGGGCTCCGGACAAAGAAGAACAAATCAAGGTCAGAGGTGACTATATTTTGAAGAAGGCACCACTGAAGTTGCGCGATAAGCGGCAGCAAAACAGGTGGAAGAAGTGGGATTCAAGCACTGAGAACATTAAGTAACGTCAGATAGAGTGCCACCAGAACGTCGGGACAATATCAAGGCACGCCAACAGGCCAAACTTTGGACAGAGATGAAGAGCCTTAAGAAGAAAAACCCCATCGTTCCGAAATTCGCCAATCATATAGATGTTTTGGTGACTGCAAGACTATGAGACATTAAAAAAAACGGGATGGAATGTGATGTAAAAAGCCAATCGAGCATTTTAGAAAAAAAGAGGGGTCAAATGCGAGGCTGAACGTAATGTGGCAACCTTTTACAACATGTTGATCTAGTTGTGACGCCGTTTCATAGTTGTACTTAGGCGTGCGCGTGCACCATGACTGTGTTGATGCCGTAGCTGCTGCTTAGTAAAGTCAGTTTCCCTATGTCATTGCTTTGTCTACATTGCCGAGTCCTCACACTACGAATACTCTTGCTAGTGTGAATTGAGAGTTGTACGACGAAGCTCGCTCTGTATGAGACATTTTCACTGACCTATTGTTGTCTAATACAGGCTCTTCGTGTTGAGCACCAGTTCGCTTGAAATGACCAGTTGCACACAGCCAGTTAACCAGTTGGGAACCAGTCTATTTTAACTGGCTGACCATTTGAGCACTACCTACCTTTTTTGAATGACCACATCTATTCAATTACTTAACCAACTGAACACCATGTACCTTCGACTGGCCGTCTAGTTTGACACCAGTTCTCTTCAGCTTGCAAACCATTTGGACACCAGCTAGCTTCAATTGGATGACTACATCTATTCAAATTGGTTAAGCAATTGAACACCATCTAGTTTCAACTGGGTGATCATTTACGATTAACTAAATTACCAGTTGCACACCAGTTCACTTTAACTAGTTAGCCATATGGCCACCAGTTAGCTTCAATTGGATGACCAACTGGATACCAGCCTACATCAACTGGTCAGCCAATTAGCCACCAGTTGTGTCTAAATGGTTATAATTAATTGAATATTCAGTGGTTCACCAATTTTACACAATTGGTATGTTTCCAACTGGTGGCGAAATTTCAATGGGTTGAAAACTAATTGATACCAATTGGTATTTTTCGAATTGAACTGCCCGAACTTTTTTGACTGGGCTGGGTTAGGGGTTAAAAAAGGGTTAAAAACTGTTCACAAGGACGGTATTATAGCACAGTGTTAGCACATGGTCTTGGTGGGGGCCACAAAAATTTTTAACATGCAAAGACATAGGCACAATTTTGTTTCGGTGGTTGCACCAACCTTATCTGAAGTGTTGGTTGGGTATAGGCGGCACACAGTGTCGAGTGTAATTTTTTGCTCTGAATGGCACAGCAGAAAAAGATTTCAGAGCAGGGAGCCCAGCGTGCAATCTGGCTAGGCCATTGGTATTACTTGTGAGTGTATCATCTAGATTCGATCTTATGTCCACAAGAAGTGTCTCTTTGTGTCTAACTACACGAAAATTAAGACATTTAGTAGAAGTGGACACGGCACAGCAATGTGCTGCGTCCGCTTCTGTGTCGTATCCACTTCTACTCTATGTCTTTACGCTGTTAGCCACAAAGAATCCGCCCCAACTCGTCCAATCTTGTTTAAGAAGTGTCTGTGGCTCATTAAAAAACACACATGAGGTACTCACTGAGCAGCAGCACAACTCCAAAGCATGACAGGCATGAATACAGGAAAGGCAGATAGCCACACCATAGGGCTGCAAAAGAATAAAGGTAATAAGAAAACAAAGTTATCACAGCTAGGATTGCAAGAGTTTCAATAGTACAACTACAACCAGGCCTACCTATGACAACAATATAACATCATGAGGTCACGACATTAAAGAAAGCAGTAATAGGCATGTCGAAAACGAGGTTTTTTATATGTTTAAACTTGTAGCTGGGAATCGGAAACTCAAACTACAGCAAGCAGTGCACTCTGTTCGCTGCTATCAGTGAACAGAGCATCAGCTGTATATTGCCATCTTCTCTCCTCGTGTTTTGTTATCACACCGTTTTACTGCCAGTAATTCTCAGTTCAAAGCATGGCGACACAGTTCGAGAAGCTTCAAAGCTTCAGGATGGCAGTAGATCATTTTGTTAAGATTACGCCCACTTTGTGAACAGTACAGTTTGTTCTCCAATCTATGTTGCCGCTAGAAATAACGCCGCAATATTTGATGGCAAGTGCATAAATGCTGACGCACCTTACCGCTTGTCAGTTGATCGACCTCTGTTCGCTGCTATCAGTGCCAGTGTCTTACTATCCTTTTGCGTGACCACAAGTTCGGCCCAAATAAACAGTTTCTTTTACGACCTCGAGTCTGCTTCATTCGTTCATGTCACGACCCCGTGACATCTGGTGAAAGTGCTGCTTTGTTTATGTACCGGACACCCCCATCAAGCTGTGAACCCAGCCTACATCACGAAGAAGACATCAACACCAGCCATGAGCACCGAACAAGCCGCAGGCAGCAGGTTTTACCACTGGAGTACAGGCCTCTACAAGACAAGGCTCGGTAGACTAAGGCCATGACCTCGACCGTGACAACAACGACAACTTCTGCGCCACAGCCTGCGATCATGATGCAGCAGCCAAGGGAACCACTGTTTTTCCAGGGGTCATCGTTTGAAGATTCGGAGACGTGGCTGGAGACTGAGTGGCTGCCCTCAACCACTGGGACATGTAAGAGAAGCTCCATCGCATATACTTTTATCTGGAAGACGCGCCAAGGACCTGGTTCGAGAATCGGGAGTTTGCCCTTCAAACCTAGGATCTCTCCTGGGGCGCAGTCCTGGAAACGTTGACGAGCGTCACTCGCAAAGAGAAGGCCGCTGCGTTTCTGGAGACCAGTGTGAAGCTGCCCAATGAAAATGTCGCCATTTTCACGAAAGAAATAACCCGCCTCTTCGGCCACACTGACCCTGACATGTCCGGGGAGAAGAAGGTCTGTCTGCTCATACGAGGAATCAAGCAAGAACTCTTCACCGGGGCTGATCAGGAACTCCCGAAAAATGGTCGCCAAATTTATTTAGAAAACATCTACGATAAAGAAGACGCTCGAGCCGTGAACACCGCATTACAACTGTAGCTTCTCGTCTACAAGCTATGCTGACATACGAGCGCTAAAAACTGCCGACCTGCGTGAGACAATCCGAGCGATTATGAAAGAAGAACTGCGAAAATTGCTTCCTTTAGTGCAGCCTCACATGGACTCGATCGCGAACGTTGCACAACAGGAGATCCAGCAATCCCTGAGCGTTCTTCAGCATCCAGAGCAGCAGCTGCAAGCTATCTACGCCCATGCCAAGACGCCAACGCGTCACACTTCTGTCGCCAGACACCACCACCTTCACCACTACCACCGAAGTCTTACCGCTTGCCTGTGGGACAGCCCTGCGCGCCAAGGAAAACCAATGTTTGGCGCATACCTGAAAACCACCTGCTCTCCCACTGCGGAAAGGCCAGGCACACCTACCACTGTTACCAGTACCGACACATGGGTCTATGGGGCTTTGACATCAACGCACCGTGTTCACAACGAGGTGAACGACCGCTATACATTGCTGACTACCTAGCGGAAGCGCAGTTGACATCCCGACAACCTTACCGCTCACCGTCGCCAGGGCACTACATGTCACTGCAACACCACCGGTACACCGGCCCTATTTGGGGGCGTTCCCCGAGCCTATAGTACTTGGAAAACTAAAGACAGCGATGGAGGTGCGGTAGCTGGACGAAGCACTGCCGAAGATCCTCCACTGCCAACGAAACCTCGAAATCTCGCTGCAACGTCAACGTAATCTCGATGTCCAAACACCACAGCCAGAGGACGACTTGACGACTCAACATCAAAGCAGCGTACAAACTGTTGTAGTCATGATCCGGTGTCATGACCTAACTGCAACATGAAGCAACCTCAATGTTCTCATCAACGGCCACAGCGTCACAGCTCTCGTCAACACCGGTGCCGACCATTTCGTCATCAGTGGCACTTTCGCCGCGAATCTGAAAAAAATGAGGACCGCCTGGAAAGGCCTCGAAATACATACAGCTAGAGGTCACCTAGTTATGCCGGCAGGAATCTTCACAGCCAGAGTCACCATTAACAGTCAGATTGATCCCGCACGGTTCGTTGTACTACAGCGTTGCTCGAGAGATGTCATCCTTGGCATGGACTTCTTAAGCCTTCATGGTGCTGTCATCGACCTGAGAACGAAGTCGACAACACTGTCTACCGAAAAAGCACTGCCGCTGCACACGCCGTCATGAAGGCACGTCTTAAATGTTCTGGAAGACCAAGTCGCCCTTCCTCCTCGCTCCAGCGTCAGCATTTCCATCCGCACTCGAGAATCAACAAACATGCAAGGCATCGTTGAAGGCGACAAGCACCTGTTGATCAGCCACGAAATTTGCGTTTGCCAGAAAAATAGCGGAGTTGCAAGAAGAGAAGGCAAGAGTGATGCTCACGAACTTCAGCAGCGAGTACGAGCATGTGAGCAAAGGCACGACGGTCACGTACATCGAAGAGATATTGGAAGCCAGCAACGTTTTCGTGATCACTAATTCTGCCAAATCTGCGCTGACAACTGAAGCCCTTCAACCAGCTTTCCACGTTAATTCTAGCCTTACGACGCATAAACAGGAATAGCTCAGACACTCCTGAAATACAAGAACTGCTTTTCCTCGTCGTCAAGAATTTGCAAGACCCCTGTTGTAAAACATTGAATCGTAGCAGAAGAAAATGCCAGGCCACGCCAGGCGTTGTAAGCCTAGAGCAGCAAATGTGAACTCTGATTTTAAGGGGGCGGTCCCTGCCGCATTTTGCAGACATAACAGATGGCTCATATACCCCTCTACGTGCAGTACTTTCAATGCAAACAGACTTCAAAAAGTGCTTCCTTTCCTGGAGCAGCCATATATATAGGAGGTATGCTTGACCATCAGGTAACCACATCATTGCTGTGCCATTTCGAAGGTTCATTCGCACACCCTTTATGCATTACAAGCAGATGCATCTGCGTGCAAGGGGTGTTCCAGGGGTCTGTAGTCATCCAAGTTGCGTACATATATCGAGCACTGCATGTGCAACAAGTTTTTTGCCCATGTGACAAGTGAGGAGTTCTTTGAAGTGGAAACTCTGCTGCTCGTGCTCCTTACAGATGACCTCAAGTCTTACTTGGCATAACAATACAATTGTTGGTATCCCACTCATTGTTAAAGCTCAACTTTATGATTACCCTGCGAAAATGATTATTTTTCTTATGTGTCAGGAAAATAATTTTTCTCAGTTTTAAAAGTACTCCAGCACGCAGCGCAAAATGCCAAACTTGGCACAATGAAATGCTTTTTCAAAAAATATATCTTTTAGAGCACCGAAAATATTTTAGAATGAAGAAAAATGTGAAGTGTAAATCTGCAGTGAAAGTTGTTATGAGATCACAACACAGGTCATGCGTGGCACCATAGTTATCTGCCGCTGTCTGTAACCGCTATCGCACAAAATAAAAGAAACGAAAATAAAAAACGCCAAGGACATAGCGGGATTTGAGCCCAGGCCCACTGCGGGCCAGCCCAGTATTCCACCACATAGCCATTGGGACTCTTTCAAATTTCCTTAGGCAGCCTTGATGCCGGGAAAGAAATAGTGTTAATATGAGTAATAAAGCGTTTCAGAACAGCCAAAAACAACAGTAGTCACACAATGCAAATTACATAATGAGTGGGTTCTCCAATGCTCCAACCCATTAGGAAAGCATGTTCTTCATCAACTATTAACTGTGGCACATATCCTTTCAGACGTAAATCTTCATCATCGTCAGCCACTGCATAAAAAAGAAAATTCACACGAAATTCGTGGCAAGTTTTTAGCAGATGACACGCTTCTTCGAAGAATGATGAAGAATGGCATAGTGAATGCCTGGCTATTATACAATGATTAATGATATAGTGGTTACCCAGCAAGTGTGCCTACAGAATCTACCCAAAGAGTGTTAAAAAAAGGTCCCTAAAGGCCGCTCTTCTAGCTTTCGCTGTGACTGCACTGCACGTTCAGCGCAGGCCTGGCAGTTTTTTGGTTGACACCTGTTAAGCAGTACAATGAAGACATTTTATATGCAAAAATATTCAGAACAAAGAAAATTCAGAATATGCATTTTGAAGATAAATGACCCAGCAACAGTATCAAAAATAATAAATGTGCAAAGTGTTTCCAGGCACATAGATAACGAAAATCAGAAAAGAAGTGCTGCTTTATTGCTTGCGCCATGCGGTGAAGCATTGCTTGTGTTTTCGTGAGATACAAGTGAACTAGTACACTTTTTCTGAGTAAGTTCTTGTTTTTTTTTTTTTGCAATAAGAGACAGCACGAGTTCTAATATATATATATATATATATATATATATATATATATATATATATATATATTGTGAGCATTGTTTATGCATCCCATCTTTCATCTGTACATGCTCATCATCACTAATCAAGCTTAGGTTGTGGGGCACATACTTGAGACAATAAAGAAGAGTCTTGAGGGTACTGGACGCCATCTTACAAGTGGTGGAGAGTGCTGCCAGATTCCTGCGTCCTCTCTCGTTCTCGGACAACCCCAGCGTCTTCTAGAACACATCCCTGGAGCTCCGTTCAGGCCGCCGCTTAAACGACCTGGGTTCGGTAATGTCGCAAGCCGACCAGCCCAGCGCAGCCCAGCGCAGCCCA